GTGAGGTTCATCATGTTTAAAATAAAAAGAAAAGAAAAAAAATACAGCACAAATATCAATGTATGTGTAGAAAACTTTACATTTGTCATACAATATGACAAATGCAAAACTCATAAAAAATATAATAAATATATATTTTTTAATACATAACATAATTCAAACTATCCGCCGAACCCCTCAATTCTAGTGGCTTAAATATAATAAATATATAGATAGAAATACTATAACAACTAAAGTGTTGTAATGTAATGGTTAGCATCTTACTCTCTTTTCCTGATCAAGTATCAGGTTTGAATTCTAAATATTTAATTATGCTGAGATATTTTATCATAAATTTCAAGAATGAAATTCAATCAAAAAACTGGTACCAATTTAACACTGGTTCAACCATTCAAGCTCATTTTTGGTGCATCAAGAGTACATACTTTTATATACAAAAAAAAAAAGAGTACATACTTTTTTTTTTTTGTAATAAGAGTACATTCTCTCTTGTAAAAAACGAAAAAATATATATAAGATATGATTGTGACTGACCGGTGTGGTCCAGTTCAAATAACATATGGTCCAGGTAGCACACAATTGCATGGAACAGAAACTAGTGATTAATAGAAATCGAGAGGCCAAAAGTGGCAGTAAAATATGCGTGAGAATGGTAGATGCGCTGAGGTGTCGAGGATTGGTAGGTGAAGGCCAAGTTTCCATACTTGAAGAATGCAAGACCACAAATCTGTCAGTGTTTTATTTGTCTAGTTCCAACCTATTATCAAGTAAGTACCAAAGAAAGCAGTTGCTACGTAACAAAAAAACGAATCATGTGCGTTTTGTTTGTTTTTTTCTATATTTGACGGGCCCAGAAATGCCACGTGACGAAAATGTAGGTTAACCACTTTCCATGACTTGTTAATTCGGAATTATGAACGGCACAAGAAACCAGTTAGGTCCATGGCACCTTGCATAGCGTATTACGCATGCCTACATATGTGACAAATCTTTATTCTGTTTTTTATTAGCTATATAAAAATTACGCTTATTCTATTATATATGCCTATTTTTTATTGGACCAACATAAAACTTAGGTTCAGTATGCAGAGATATAATCAACTAGAAGATATGAGGTGCGGTGTATTAGGCAAGGACATAGAATGGGGGAATCGTGCAAGGGATTGGTTTTAGGTGTACTACTAAGGGTGTAAATAGATTGGTTTACATTTAATTTTAATCTCAATAGATAAGGTCTGTTCATCCTGACTTGGCTTAGTAGCCTATTAGCCTAAAATAAGTTAAATTATAAGCTTAATTTATATATATTAAAAAAATCAAAAGGACTGACCTAAACTTATTAGCTTTAATGCTTTAATATCTACCAAAAATTAGAAAAAAATAAATAATTTAATATAAGCTGACCTATAAATTTATATGTCAGACCTTATAAAAGTTGGTATATTACTTATTTTTTATATCAACTTTTTTAAATAATTAGGCCTATTCAATTTTATCAGGCTAGACAATATAATTTTAATAGATTGTCTGATCCATTTACACCTTTAAGTGGAAGGATGTTGAAGCAGAATAATAATAAAGGATGAATATGATCACAAAGGTGGATAGAATATTTCCTTGGTATTGAATGCGTGATGCTAAAATCACATGCCCTAGTGGCGAAGCCAGGGAAAAGATTCAGCAAGTGTCAAAAAACCCAACTATTAAAATCTAGTTAGTACTAATATTGTATTATTTTCAAAAATCTAACCAATACCAAGGCTATATACCATAACTTTTAAAGAAAATATGTAACATTTTTTAAAAATTAGCTGGTAAGGCACCAGCTAAGAAGCAAGTGGCTCGGCCACTTATATGCCCCAAGCATTATTTTGATGCGAGACTGTGTAACCCTTCACATTGAAGGGATATGTGTGCTTTATAGCTCTGACACTTCAAAAAACTTGAAGTATCGTGTCCAACACTCTCCAATATCTCGATACTCTGACACGTTCAAATATCTATAATAGTTAAAATTTTATTACATATTATGAAAAAATTGATCGATATTTTAGCAAACTGATATAATAAAATTTAAAATTGGATACCAAATAATTTTCAGTGGAGTTCATAAGAGATTTTCAATTTACAAATATAATAGTAAATATTAAAGTTTCTTTGCAAAATTGATGGATATTATAAGATTAGTTTCAATTTTTTTATGAAATTATTGAATATTAAATATAATATACACTACATAAATTAAAAATATTATTTAATATTAAAATATTTCCTAGCGTGTTAAAATCTAACAATTTTTTGTATTAGTATGTCGGAATATTGTGTCATATCGTGTTCCATATCAATACAGTGCAATATGGCATGTGTGTATGAGAATGTGAGGGGAATAAGACATAAAGAGAATTTTTATTCATTAGTGGAGATGAAGGTTCGAACCTCAAAATGCGCCCAATACATTTATCCACAATAATAATGATTTTATTTGATTTGAATAAGGAGAAATATTTATCCTTTTAAAGGATATAATTTTATGTTATTTTAGATCCTAACCATTGATTTTCGTCAATCAAGGATTAGGATTTATTGGATTTTATTGTGAATTACTAATTAATTAATAAATTGACACAATAAATCCTAACCGTTGATTGACGAAAATCAATGGTTAGGATCTAAAATGAAACAAAGTTATATTCTTTAAAAGGATAAATATTTTTCCGTTTGAATAATGCACATATCATATATTAGGTTGTTTATGATTATATAATATCTACTTAGAGAATAAATATGATGGCAAAAAAAATAATTTATTGCATTTTTAATTAAAAATTATGAATTTATTGTTGTTTTGAAAATAATTACGCGTGTATTGCAGTGTGTCACACCCTGATTGGGTGACATGGGTCACTCCCAAAGGAGACGTCACCCCCTGCTGGGTCACGCCCAATCCAAATGTGACCAGTGACGCCCAATCCAGGCGTGATCCACCGCAACCTATAAATACCCCAAATTTTTCTTTTTTTACCATTTTACTCTCTCTAACTTGTCTGTAATACATTGTTGCTCTCCCTTCCGTGGAAAATTGGTTAGCGAAGCTCTGTCAAAAAAGTAAATTTTTAATACCTGCTTTCTATAAGTTTAAATTACAGTAGTAGATAAGGAACATGTTAGTGATTTACAAATTTATTAGTGACTTATGGTACTGTTAGTGACCTAGAAATATCAAGTGACATATTTTGTAGTGACTTAGGAATGTTGTAGTGACCTAAGAATTAATATTGTTTACTTACGAATTAATTAGTGACATAGGAATTTGGTAGTTTGCTTAAATTTTGTGTATGCTTAATAAAATTGATAGTGACTTACGTAATGAATAGTAACATAGAAGAAATAATTGAAATTATGATTATAATATAATTTCATTAGACAATTCACTTGTTAGGGGTGTGTACATAATTTTTAAATATATATTACTGTTACATATTGTAAGTAGTTCTAAATTAAATTATTTTTAACGTTGTATTACATATGTATATATAATTGGATTTTAAATTAATGGTAACAATAAATTTAATATTTTGTATAGTTCTTTTATCATGGCTGATTCATCGTCATCTGGGGGTTCTGCATCTGATCACGATCCAGAGCCTACTGATCCCAGTATGTATATCTTACATGGGTCGTATAGGTGGGAGGTCCTTCAGAAGAGGAAGCAAAGTGCACATATTTCACAGCACGTGTGGAATACGGAGCATGTACGACAGCTGAAGACCCAGCGCGGTAAGATGTAGGGGGCATCCTACCAACGAAATTCCATATGTGGTAGTGGATTACCTGACCCAGGCAAGATTTATACATGTTGCACGCATGTGACATATTCAGGTATGCACTTTAGGATGTAATATATTATATTTTTATTCAATTTAATGACATGTCGTGTGATAATTGTATAATGTATTTCAGATTGATGCTGACTTGATTAGTGCTCTGGTTGAGAAGTAGAGACTAGAGACACATACCTTTCATATGAGTGCTCTGGGGATCACGACTGTTAGATTTTTTTCACGAGGGCACATATTGCGTGTATGTTAGGGTGTTGGCTTCTATGCGACAGATCAAGAGGTAGCAACATGGGTTGTTGCTTAGTTTTGTTGCTCGGATGAGGGTTTGATGTTATTGGCCGATATAGCTGGAGGTCTGCGGTAGTGGCGACTTGTTCAGAAATTTGTGCGAATGTACAGACGCCGAAAGATCTGACATGGGTGGGTGCCATATTCTTCTGTAGATTTAGGCCTAGATCAGATTTTCACGCATTGCTCCCCCTTTCCTCCTTCTCCTGGTCCTGGGACGCACTATGGATGCCGATATGTGTGTTTGGCAATTGTGTCTTTTTATTAATTTGCAAGTTGTATAGTTAATAATGATGTTTATTTTGGATGACAGGTTTAATACTCTTCGGAGGTTCAAGCCACACGAGGTTGTGCATTATTGGGCAACCATGGATACATTATGTAGAGATGAGGTACCGTATTATGTATTTTTTTGTATTTTAAAAAGTATTATTTTTTGTTTAGGGATTATTTAATTGTGGATAATTTTGTGTGTAGGTGGTTTAGTAACCATACATAGATTACGTATGGTTGGGTGTATCTCCATAGTAGCAGTATCTCTGGTTTGCTGTCACACCTCTCATTTATTTTCACACGGTTGAGGCTAGCCAACGGGACAGGTGTATGCGACAGTTTGGTTTGGATCAGTCGATTCCAGATGGACTGTGGACTATTCGATGGACTGTTTATATTTTATAGACTGTCTTTATCTTATGTAATATGCATATGTTATGGAGTGTATGTTTCGGTGATTGATAACGATTACAACGTAACATACAAAACTAGCCGACTAAATATAATAAAGGTAGTGGACGTGGGTTACAAAACCGTATTAACAGATTGCACACTGGAATTAAAAAGCATTATCATACAAAAACGTAGTTTTAAGCAAAATCATTCAATCGTTCGCTTCGCGATTAGGACACCCCTGCGATTATGGCCATGTTGCTTGCAAATACCACACCTAATACGATTTTGACTTGTCTCGACTTCATCCATCTCATCACGGATTCTGGTGGACCTTGGACGACCTTTTGCACGTAGCATAGAAGTTTCAGGTATAAGCATCGGACCTGCACTTGGTGGAATAGCTTCCTCATTACCAATTGGCTTCCACGGAAATGAATATGCCTGAACCAAGTTAGTTGTCAAGAATATGTCATCCACGTATTGGAAAGGATTCTGACGAACACTTAAAGTAGCAGCAGCAATGTGACTACACGGGTATTTGAAGGCCTTAAACTTTCAAACATTGACAAAACCTCTCTGGCAGATCAACAGAATACGACTTATCCCATCCCTCGTCAACCTCAAAGACTGTTTGGTCAACGTTATATGCGCGCACATGGTGGCCTCTAGCTAGATGTTCATTGTGCTTCAGCAGTCGAACTATATTTTGGCAATGACGATGTGTAGATTGAAGTTGTGAAGCAACTGCTTGACCCTTATTAACAAAATAATGTATTAATTTGTTGTATATGTGCTTAACCAGAGCAGTTATTGGCATATTTCTTTTCCCTTTTAACACCTTGTTTACAGATTCTGCCAAGTTAGTTGTCATATGCCCATATCTGCATCCTTCAACATCATATGCACGCGTCCATTTTTTCTTAGAGATGGCATCAATCCACTCTGCAACCTGAGGGAATCGTGCAAAACCTCTTTCAAAATCCTCCACTGACGGGGTATAACCTGAACAGAATGATAAATATATAAATTTGAAGTACTTAATGCATAAAAAATAGAGTTAAGATTGAGGTAAATATACCTAAATTCTTTAATTTCCTCTTCAACCTCTCATTCATGAACTTTTGATTAAAATTGCTAGCAATATGACGAAGGCAAAACACGTGATATGCATTTGGTGGCTGGCAATTAAGGTTATTCTCCACAGCAGATATTATGCTACGATGCCATTCTGAAATGAGGCATATATTTGACATTTGCGTAACATAAGCACGAATATTAACAAGAAAATAGTCCCAGGCTTCCAAGGTCTCACCTTCAACATTGGCAAATGCAAGTGGTAAACATTCGTCATTTCCATCTTGAGCCATGGCAACCAACAATTTTCCTTTATACTTGCCATATAAATGAGTGCCATCGATTTGTATCACTGGTTTGAAAAATTGAAGCCTCGCAACACTGTCTAAAAGTCCAGAAGATACGAGGAAATATGTGTTTTCCAGGAACTATTCCATGCTCCATATAATAATCATTTGTTTGATTATGTTAAAAAGAACCTGGTGAAAAGCGAAGCATATATTCACACCAGCTGGGCAAAAAAGTATACGATTCCTCCCAATCGCCATACATCGTTGCAATTGCTTTCTGCTTCGCATAACATGCCTTTCTATACTAAACTTTGAATCCATAGTTAGAGGTGATCCTTTCTTGAACTAGTGTAATTGAGACTGATCGTTCTTCCCTTATCATCCCTAGCAATGAAGTCGTGACGTACACATTAAGACCATCATAAATAGCATTAACATGATTTTTCATCGCACAATATCCAAAAAACGTACCTAGGACAAGCTCCGCAATGACATCAGTATCAAGCTGTCTGTGACCCTAAGAAATGTGGTCATTCAAACAATTGTGATTTCCAATCCATCTGGTAACCTTTCAATTTTTACCAAATACTGGTTTTATTGCCCTAACCTGCCACAAGCAACCCTTATCATGAGCGCAATATTTCATGCTTAATTTTGTAGGCGTGATCTCAATTACAATTGCATCTTGATGCTCCCTCATGAGGTTGATCTTCAGTGCCATTCGAACCTCTTTTTTGGTTGCAAATTCCTGATTCACAAATAACTTGTCACCCAATTGCCACAGTCCTTGTATTGATCCCGATCCCGAAATCGAACCATCAGTACATGATTCTTGTTCGCTCTGATAACTCCAATCAATATGTGTGTAATGTGGAATTCCTTCCCAAAAAGGAATAACAACATCATCACCTGCATATATGAATTAAAACTTGTAAATATATTATTTAAACACCCTAAATTAGATACGAGTTATTTACTAAAATACCTTCATGATGTTCTGCTAATTGTGCGGAGCCTATGTCATTAAGTTACGGGATTTGAGACTCCACCGGATCATGGTATACTGGGATTTAAGACGCGGGCCTATCACCATCGTTATCTCCTTCTGAAGCACTAGCATCCTCGGCCATAAGACATTCTTCCATTGTGATGTTTTCATCATCATCATCATCATAGTCGTCATGCATAATCCAAGTAGGATCATTTTCATCTCCTTCAGAAATGTTAACAACTGGAGAAGCATAAGCAGCAGATGTTGATGCATGACATGAAGAATTTAAAGCAACTGACCTCACCGATAAAACAACATCCTCTGCTCCGGCAATGTACACATACAACTCCAAAAAATCTTTCCTTGACTGGTTGAAAAATTCTTCCATTATCATCTCGACGTCTTTATCATTCACCACTTGCAAACTAATGTATTGTTCAGATTGTCATAACCTCGTGGTGATCTGAGTGATAGATTGGTTACCTTGAAGAGTTAACTTTTGACGAATTTTATGGTGCAGTTCATCAATTGTTGAGTTGCATTTGATACGTGTTGGCCTTTTTTCACCTTCAAAAATTACACATCGTCGACCTTCCACCTTCCTATCATTGTAATATAACACAACACGAACATAATCAGAATGTGAACTCATTTTTAAATGGAATAACAAATAAAATAAAAGACTATGGATAAGCTAATAATTTTGTATGTAAAAGTAAGAATTGATGGTGGAGAAGAGTTGTGAAGAGTGTTTAGAGTGATAAGAGTTTAAATAGATCTATTTGCACCATTCACACCCCATATGGGCATCAAAATTGCATGTGTCACGTCCAAATTGGGCATCACAGGTCACGCCCCATTCAGGCGTGACCCACGTGGAGGTAATGGCTACATAGGACGTGACCTGTGATGCCCAATGAGAGTTTGACACTGTGCAATACATGCGTAAATAATTTCAAAACAGCAATAAATTTGTAATTTTTTATTTAAATTAAAATAAATTAATTTTTTGCCATGACTCAATAGTTATGTATGATTAGAGCTATGTAGCACCGATACGACACGCGACACGTGACACGATACGACACGACACTCCGACACGTCAATCCTAAAAAATTATGGATTTCGACACGTTGGGACACGTTTTAATATTAAATAATATTTTTAATTTATATAGTGTATATTTCATTTAATATTTAATAATTTAACAAAAAAATGAAACTAAATTAATAATACCCATCAACACGTTATAAATATGGAAGCTTTAATAAAAAAAAAGAACTGGGATGAGAGAGAGATATAATATCAGATAGAGAGATCAAATCATATTAGAGAGAGATCAGAAAGAAGAAGATACAACAAGAGCGTGATAGGAATTGACAACAATGATGCTGAGATGATCTCTTATCTACTTAAGGGGAAAAAAGACAAAAAGATAAAATTGATATGATCAGGTGGAAGCTTTATTAATATATTTTTAACTTTTAAAAAAATAAATTTTTTTTAAAAAAAATTAAAAAAAATTAAAAATTAAAAATTAAAAAATTACGAAAATGCCATTTGACCGTGTCGGACACGGTCAAATTCGTGTGTCGGAATGGTCAACGTGTCGAAAAAAGTCAACCGCGTGTCCGACACCGTGTCTGAGCGTGTCGGAGCGTGTCGCCGTGTCGGACCCGACTCTTCATGTTTTTACAAGTGTCCGTGCTTCCTTGGATTAGAGTTTTGATTCTGATAATAATAAATTACTCTAATATTATTTGTTACAGAATCAACGGTAAGCAGAATTTTACTTAATGACCAGGAGAAATTTGAAACCCGTGGTTTGATATGAGAATTATTAATTAGGATCTACTGTAATAAATTCATTTGGTATTTTCCAATGTGTTAGATGATTTAACGTCTCTTTTTCTGCCATGTGGTATTTGGCCCCCACCACATTCGCACTCGTCCTTCATTCTATGTCCCATTTCATTCACTATAGTTATTTAGGATTATATATAAAACGTGTATTACTAAAACAATTAATTATTGTCATATATATTTAAGGAAAGTGGAGCTATATATATTACAGTATTAACGAGACAATGGTCAACTTATTTATTATTGCTATCATTAATTATTATAATAATTATTATTTTGGGGATTGGATTCTATAATCATGATATGATGTAATTTAACTGGCTTCTTGCCCATTATTTGCTTTCATTTTATTCGACTTTAAGAAATTATTTCAGTGACCAGTAGTTTATGATTAATAAATAAGGCTTTTGATAAGTAATGAGTAGTAGCTGCAAGTGGGACCAAATGAGGCCACTAACAAGGAGACTGTAAGACAACATATTTTTCACCGTATATATAATGTATACGTTTGTCCTTCTTTCGTATAAAACAAGCTTTGATATCATATATATATATATATATATATATATATATATATATATATATATATATATATATATATTTTTTTTTTGGTGAGGGATATCATATATTTTTTTATGAAACAAACAAATCATGATTAATTAAAAATTCCCACCGAAGAGCCACAAATCATGAATGCTACTATATGATTAAGACCTGCCGGTTCCTTCCTTACCGTGAGCGTCATATATATATATATATATATATATATATATATATATATATATAAGAATGCTCTGTCGTGTTTCTTTAAAAGAATAACGTTATTTATAAATTTAACAATTTTTTTATTTTTTATTATTATGTAAACTATTGAATTTCTTGTCGCCAAATTAATGATCTACTACATAAATGATTTATTTGAATTTTGTAAGAAACAAAAAGCTAAAAACTCGTTCTAGGGCAGAAAACTGATAAAAATAAAAATAAATAAAAATAATAAAAATAAACTGAGTGCAACAAGATTTTAAGAATATTTTAGTGCAATCTTCAAGATTAATTTTCATTGTAAATATATATTTTATATTAAAATTGACTCAATAATAGTTTGTGTGACGGAGGAAAATGATTTTAAGATGGTATCAATAATTTCTAACAAAAATACTCTGCAATCATGACTATTATAAAATTAAACCAACACTTAATATTTTTAGTGACAACTGACAAGAGTTCAAGTTTTCTTGAGTAATATTTTTGGTCCGAGTCTTAAAAATGAGAAAGAAAGAGAGAGAGAAAAAATGACGATGAAGGATTATTGCATTTCCTATGAGTCTCACCCCATTCGACTCTAAATTAGTCGGGTCTCAAAATGACTTTTAAAAAACCACGCACTTCAAACAAAGAAGAATATTATAAAAAAAAATTAATGAGTAAAACTAATATTTTACTTGTAAAAGGGTATTCTAATATATTATAGAATTGTAAATAATCTGTACAAATGGTTCTCTATTTATAGAGAATATTTGACCTACTTTTAACCTAATGGGCTTGGCCCAATACAACAATAAATGACTAAATAAAAACTAAATAATACCTAAATCAATATTATTTACAACACTCCCCCTCAAGCTGAGGAATAGATATTTATCATTCCCAGCTTGCTAGTAAGTTCTTGAAATCTGTCTGAAGGAAGCCCCTTTGTTAATAGATCAGCTAATTGACGCCCAGTGGGAATGTATGGAGTGGTAATCAACCCGCTATCAAGTTTCTCTTTGATGAAATGACGGTCAACCTCAATATGTTTAGTCCGATCATGTTGAACTGGATTATGAGCTATACAAATAGCAGACTTATTATCACATAGCAGCTTCATAGGTCCCTCACATTTTATTTTGAGATCATCAAGAACAATTTTCAGCCACAGTAACTCACAAATGCCTTGAGCCATAGCTCGAAATTCAGCTTCTGCACTTGATCTGGCAACCACATCTTGTTTCTTACTTCTCCATGTCACCAAGTTACCGCAAAGAAACATACAATAACCAGTGGTAGAACGACGGTCAGTCACGGATCCAGCATAATCAGCATCTGTGTAGACTTCTAAAGATAGATTGCCATCACGTCGGAATAACAATCCTTTACCAGGAGTACCTTTAAGATACTGAAGAATTCTCTCTACTGCCTGCATGTGTTTTTCTTTTGGATCGTGCATAAACTGACTGACAACACTAACAGCATAAGCTAGGTCTGGTTTAGTATGGGCCAGATATATCAATTTCCCAACTAGTCGTTGATATTGTCCTTTATCAATTGGAGGACTCTCTTCTTCATTGCCCATCTTGTGATTCTGCTCAATAGGAGTATTAGAGGGTTTACACCCGAGCTTTCCTGCTTCTTTGAGAAGATCAAGAACATATTTCCTCTGGCTGATAAAAATTCCTTTGCTTGAATGAGCTACTTCTATCCCTAGGAAATATCTCAGTTTCCCAAGGTCTTTGATTTCAAACTCAGAGGCAAGCCGTGTTTGCAGAATCTGTCTCTCCACAAAATCATCACCTGTGATAATAATATCATCAACATATACAAGGAGCACAGTAAGCTTCCCATTTTGGGAGTGCTTGAAGAAAAGAGTGTGATCTCCTTGGCTCTGTCTGTATCCTAAGGTCATCATAACCTTAGTAAATCTTCCAAACCAAGCACGAGGTGACTGCTTCAATCCATACAAGGCCTTTTTTAATCTACAAACTTTATTTTCCCCCTTCACAGAATCAAAACCAGGCGGGATTTCCATGTAGACTTCTTCTTCTAACTCACCATTGAGGAAATCATTTTTCACATCAAATTGATTTATATCCCAATTGTAATGGGCAGCAAGGGATAACAAGATTCTCACTGTATTCATCTTTGCAACTGGAGCAAAGGTTTCTTCATAATCAATGCCATAGGTTTGAGTGTAACCTTTGGCCACTAATCGAGCCTTATATCTCTCAAGAGTGCCATCAGAATTATATTTCAGGGCATAAACCCATCTGCACCCTACTGCTTTCTTTCCGTTGGGTCTATCAATAACCTCCCATGTTTTATTTTTCTCCAAAGCATTCATCTCCTCTTGCATGGCTTGAGCCCAATTCCTATCTTTCAAGGCTTCATGTACTGATTTTGGGATTGCAATAGAATCTAGTGCTGAAACAAAGTTTTTGTGCTGCACAGAAAGATTAGCAGAGGAAACAAAGTGGGAGATAGGGTATTGAGTACAAGAGGGACAGGAGGAACAAGTTTTCTTGTGACAAGATCTTTTTCCTTTTCTAAGAGCAATAGGTAAGTCATCAGAAGTAGAAGCAATGGGTAAGTCATTAGATATATCAGAAGAAATAGACAAATCATGAGAGGAAATAATATTAGAATCAGAAACGGGAGATTCAGGAGAATCAGAAGAAATAGGAGATTCAGGACTTACCAGTGGTTCAGACGATTGAGGTTGCTGGTGAGACAGTATGGGTTGTATCTCAGGTGTATTTGAAGGTTCTG